TGCTCAGGCAACACCACAGCAGCCTGGAGAACTGCCAGCGGAACCACTCACTGCCCTGCTGCAAGTGCACTCTGAGAGCACAGCCAGAGCTCCTACGCTGTGCCTTGCCCTGCTCCAAGGGCTGAGCAGCCCCCAGGAGAAATCAGCTAAAGCCAGGGGCATGATCAGGGAGCAAACAGTTGAATTAACCAAAAAAAATATACAAAAAAAAAAAAAGAAGAAAGAAAAATAGAAAAATCCCCAGTAAGGCCCAGAGTTACAGTCAGGAGAGACACTACACTGATCCCTCCACAGGTCCTAAGTGGACTCAAAACTAAGCAAGGCCAGATGCAGCCAAACTGGCTTGCCAGGATCCAACACAAATTTTTGTTTGAGCAAGGACTGGAGGATTTGGCCTCACAGCCCAGTTCTGCCTTTGCTTGTAGATATACAACTCCCTTTAACTTCAATGGGAACTGCACAAGGGCAGAACTGGACTATAAATATTTAGAGTTCGGGTTAGTTGGTGAGAAAAGGACTCAGTATATTTTATTCTCTGGATCTAGACAGCCAGAAACAGACCTGGAAACAGAGCCATAAAATGCAATTCTAGATAACTGGGAAACAAAGGCTGATACTTAGACAACACGGATTGCTAAGGAAAGGCTCTGTTTTGTAGAGTATTTAAAGGGCTTGCATTTACCATTAGCCCAGCAAATCCTTAACACTCGGAGAGTAGCTCTTTTAAAATGATTAATCTCCAAGTTGTACAGATTGTACAAAGATTAATAAAAATGAAGGTTTTACAGATGAGAATGTGTGATGAAAAACAGAGCAGCTTTAGAGAGTTGTATCAATCCGAGTGGTTATAAAAAAAAACCTCATAAAAGATGACATTCTAATCTGAATATTTTAAAAAATAATCAAGCTGCAATTTCTCTCTCACACCATTTTTACTTTGTTAGACTGAAATTGCCTGTCTAATGTATAAAGCAGTTACAACTTAATCTGAAGAATTAAGCTTTTTATTATTATTTCATAAACCAAAAAAGGGAAGCTTTAGGGCACACTGAGGAGAGTTAGAAAATTTCAGATGAAATGTGAATACACATTGATTCATGAGATTCAGACTTGGAAGAATAAAAAAAAGCCAGAAAAAAAGATTACATAAAACAGGCACCACATTAAGCCTCAATTTAATTGTGTTTCAGTGCAGGAACAGGAATTTTAGGGTTTAGAAACAGAGCCAAAAATGAGGCAAAGTGAGGGTGTGGGCTAGTGCTGTTGATAACAGAACATAAAGGAAGAGAAGTAGAGCTAATTCCCTCTGCTAAAATATTTACCATCCTAGCACCCTGGGAAAAATAAGTATGAAGACAGCAAAAAGATTCTGATTAGTTATATAGAAGATTCTGTTTCTGCCTGGTTTTTGTCTAACACTATTACAGAGGGTGGAGTATAAAGCTGCATTTTTATCTGTACTTTCCGAGGCAAAGGGATATTAAAAAACATGATTTCACAGATAAGAGCTCTTCTGCCATCTTCAATGAGAGAACTAGCTGGCTGATGAAAGGAAGGATCTGGATTTTCAGGGCATCTTAGTATTTCTGACTTCAATAGCCTTTCTTTGGTTTGACCCGAGTGGAATCAAGATTTTACCCAACACTTACTTTCAAAATGAGACCCTCAGCTATAAGTGGGAAAGGATCAATTCAGTATTAGAGATAGTAGGTTATTGTCCATTTCTATTTCATCTTGACTGCAGAACTGAATCTAAGTAGGAAGTTTTGCACCTCAAAATTTTACTAATAATACCACCAAAGCTAAACATAAAAGCTTTTGCAATTCACTCCTAAACAAAACAAGTTTTCACTGTCTTGTTTTAGATGCAGTTTAAAAGTGTTCTGCAGAGAGCACACCTAATATGTCTTCCAGTGAGCGTGAGAAAACAGCAATAAATACCAATTTCCATGGAACATGTTGAGTATTTAACACCCAAGCAAAACTAAAAGGGGAAAATCAACATTTTGTCTGGTTATGCACTCAATTTCAGATGACTGTGGATCAAAACTTTTTGCTCGAGCACTGAAGAGACAATTTTGTCAAGTACTGCTGTTGGGAACGTAGCTACACTTCTTGTCAACCATGCCATATCATTTCCTGCTTGTTATCAGTTATTTTCATGTCACTTTTATGCATAACTCACCAAAATATCTAGAGGGGGTTTATAGTCATGAGGTCTATCTACTCTTACAACTACTGCACAAGGAAGCAGCGTTTTTCATATTGGATAAACAAAAAAAAACCCATGAAAATATTAAGAACAGACACAAATTGAAAAGGTGTCCACTAATGTGGTACATGCATTTTGAGATGTCTGGGACCTGAGTTCTCAGGTCAGCAAAGGACCCACTGGCTTTCCTGCAACAGTATAAATCTAATCTCAGCAGCTCCAAACAAAATACCACAAAATTAGGAACAAATCATCAGCAAACAGCCTGAGGAGATAAAATCCAGTCTCCCAGGGGTGTTTATTGCCTTAGCAATGCAGCTTTCCTTTTGGATTCTTGAAGTTGCCGGCTCGCAGAGAACAAGCCCACCTTCCCTCTTGTCTACCCAAAGTTCAGAAGGTGACAGAGAGGTCCCTGGACAAACAAGCAACACAATCAACACACCAGTTCACAAGGCACTGTTCTTCCCTCACCTGAGTTATAAGAACAACCTGAGCTCAATCAGAGCTCAATCGAGTTGGCATTCAGAACCTAAATGAAAGTCTAAAATGCAGATTCAAGTCAGTTGGACTCTGTGGTAGAAGTAGTGGGTTATTTTCTTCTCCAGGGACAGTTCCTCGAAGAGAGAAGCTCATCTTGGGCCATCAGACATCCTTTGATTTGCCAGCAAGTAGAAACATCTAAAACTCATGGCTGCAGCCTTTTCTATGTGCTTCCCCATTTACACCTCTTTCCCCTTCCCCTGCCAGTCTGTCACATTGCTGTACTCTGCCAGAAGACAACATCTCACTTCCCCTTAGATGTCTCTCTTCACCACGTAGCAATGGCTGGTCAGGGACTCTATTCCATGCCTTTTACTGCTCACCTCTGCTTGTCTCAGGCCGCGCCTTCCACAGATTCCTAATGCTTACAGCTACCGAAAGCACTCAAAGACTGAACTCCACCGAGACAAAGGAACTTCTTGCTGTCAGTTCCAATATCCAGTATTAAAATACCCGTGGAGGAAAAAACACTTGGGAAAAGCAGACTTCTATGGCCTTAAAGACATAAGCTACAGCAGGCTCTGAGCAGACAAAACCATTCAATAGTTTAGGTGCCAGGTTTTTGATCACACACAAAGAGGACTGTTCCTAAGCTTGCAACTCAACAGGAATGGTTTTCACAATGACTGAAAAGGACACAGTTTTGGACAACTGGCAGTACTCCTTCCTCAAATTCAAACTTTTAATCTGGGGTGAGGAGATTCTGGGGCTCATCACTCAAATATTGGCAAGAATGTAAAGAGCTAAAACTAGAATGCTCTCAGACAAACTGCCAGGTAAATTCAGCATAGAAACTGCTAACTAACACTGCCTGAAATGCATGGCAACAGCTTCATTTCAGTGTGTTAAACTTGTGCTGAACATGAACCCAGAAAGCAAGCTACTGACCTGGGCTGCTGTCAAGTATAAAGTGTATGACCTGTAAGTTTTATGTAATTGTAGAGTTCTCTAACTGTTTGCAGAACTTACTGGCAATGTCTTCTTCCTTCTTATAATGTGCCTTATTGAAGCCAGGAAGAACTGCTGGGGAGAACTGAAGGCGAGGAGCTAAATAGGGACTGTCATCGTTGGACAGAATCTAGAAGCTCCATATTTCAACAGAAAGATTGATTCCAAAATTCTTAAATTACAACTACAAGACTGAGAAAAGCATCTGAAATACTAAACGCCTGGAAATCACTTATGAACAGTTCATATATTTTAAAGATGTAAATCTGGGGAAGAATACCTTATGTTCATGGCAACTGAGATTGGAGGTACTGTGTATTGTAACTCTCAGCCAGAAAAGACAGATAACTATTTTGGCTCATATTACCAGTGATGAGGCTATGTCTAGCACTGATTTTCCACAGATTCTACAATCTTGGCCTATACCAAAACTTTCAGCTTTGTTTTACCATAGATCATTCATCTTGATTTCCCCCCCCCCCCCTTTTCATGCATCCTAGGTCACATACTTTACACTGCTAACAGTCTGACTCCTGGACAAGTAAGAAGCCATTTATTTTGTTCAGTACTCCTTTAATATTTCTATTGTGACTTTTTTTTTTCACTGAGTTCCCCAAAGAATAACCTCTTCCTTGCTTTAATAACTTGGACCTCGGTCAAGGTTGATGTGTTTCTTCATTTTGCAGGATATTTTCTTCAGAAGAGACAAAACAGTGTCTAATACTGAAATGACTGATCTTTAAAGGGTACAGTTTAAAGAGGAAATCAAAAACACTTATGGAAAAAAAAAGTAGGAAATAACCTTTAAAAGAGGGAATCAGCAGCAAAGACAGTGAACTGTACACAACTGTAGGATTTTTGGATCTTCTCTAACCATAAGAGAGCTCCATGACAGACCTCTTCAGGCTCAATTCTCTCCTTCACTTCAATACAGAGAGTTTACTATGCTACTATCTTCTCCCTCTAACCTTCAAACGACCATTTGTGAATGAGCTAGAAGCAGATCCACAACATTTTACTCCTTCATCACACGACAGAACTGTACACAAAGCCCACCTTGAACAAGAATTTTGACATTTATGGACAACTGCATGAAAGCACAGAGCTATGCATGAAAGCACAGATCTATACAAGGCTTTCCTCGGCCTCTCCTGTTGTTCACTTGGGGCAACACAAGCATAGACACTGAGACCATCTCAAAGCTGGCGATACCCGCCTTCGGTGGGGGGAGTTTTCACAGCCAATTACCTACTCAGAGCAGCGAATTATCTACTCCGTGGCTTTCTCTTGGCTAAGATCGAAAGGTGGCTCTGTCACTCGTGGTGGCGATCACAGACGAAACGAGGTGAGGACACGGCTGTCCATCAGCCTCGCGGCTCTCGGTCCTGCCCCACGCGCCGGAGGATCCCCAACCCTGGCAGGGCTGATGGAGGCACCGGGCACAGGCACCGGAGCCTGACCCCCCTCCGTGGGCCGCCACCCCGGCGGGGCCCCGCGGCGCCTCGGAGCCTTCCTGCCCGCCCAGGCGCAGGAAGCCCCGCGGGGGAGGCGGGCCGGAGCCTCTTCCCGGCAGGTGGGAGGGCGACAATGGCCGGGAGGAAGGAAGCCGGGAGGCGGCCGGGCCGGGAGACAGGACGCAGGGCCTGGCGAAGGCAGGGAAAGGGAAGAGGGATGGTAGGAAAGGGGCGACAGCTCAAGGAGGAGAGAGCGAAGGGGCCGCGGCTGCTCCTCTGGGACGGGCCCAGGGACCGGGAACGGGCACAGCCCATCCCTGCCCTGCCCGGGGACCCCAGCCCGGCCCCGGCGGGACAGGGCGGCTCCGGCGCTTCGCCTCTGAAACATCCAGGGCTGGGCTCCATGGGCGCGGCACCCCAGCCCTCAGCCCAGGCTATTGCAGGGATTATCAAAATCCCGGCAAACTGCAGCCAGATGATGAGCCATTCTCAGGACCGGACAGTATTCTTTTCGTGCGAGTGATGGGATTCAAGTCGCAAAACACAAGATGAAGTTAGCTCAGTAACACAGCTACACTAGGGCAACAGGTTAGAAGAGAACAAAGCTCCTTACCCCTTCAGTGTGGATCCCAAGTTCATTTGATTCCATGTCATGCATTCAAGCTGCGAGGTCATTTGGTATAAATTGTCACTGTTGAGAAAACATGTAGAATTAGAACTAAAGTTACAGATACCAAATAAAAAACAATACATCAAGACATCAACAATTTCTTTGTTATTGGTTTTCACTATAACTATCTAATAGCAGAAAGTAAATTTATTTTATATAATCCCTCTATCTACGTATTATGAATTTAAAAAAAAAAATAAAAGGAAATAGAAGAAAATAAAGGCTGTGGATCCAAAAGTCCCTTTGAATCCGCAAGCCTGACGATTTTTAAACAGCTGGAAATGGAGACCTAAAACTTCTTCCTTACAGAAAAATAATATCCGATATTGACACACATAATATTCGACATCGAAATGAGTAAAACGAATATAGGCAGCTGGGCGGACTAACGCAGCGGATTATTTGTTTTAAAAAGTCAAATCTGTTAACTATTTTAACCAGGAGTGTGAGGGACCACGTGGGTAATGGAGTGAAACAGCTATCGTGACTCATGATGGATGTTACTACATAGAGGGGCTTGACAAGCGGGAGAAAAATGGAGTGGCTGGGCGATAAACGAAGCTCGCCGCTGGAACAGGCTCTTTCCCCGCCGGTACACACCGAAGGCAGCCCGGCGGCGGCTGCGGCCCGCGGCTTCCCCGCCACCGGAGCGGCAAAGCCGGGCAGCGCGGCCGCGGTGCGGGACGGTGGGAGGCGGACGCGGAGCCCCGCGGAGCCCCGAGAGTGCTCGCCCGGCCCGGCAAATCTCCACCGGGCCGAGGAGGTGCCGCCACCCGGGGCAGGCTCCCCCCGGGCCGCCTGCGGGGCTTCCCCGCTCCGCGGTCTCCCCGCAGCGCAGCTCCCCGGCGAGCGGCGGGGGGACGAGGCGGGAGCCCCCGGCCCTTCAGCCGGGAGATGTGATTGATGCCGGGGAACAGCCGCTCACAATAAACGCAACTCTCCCCCTTGATTAATCACACCTAAAATCGCTGGACTTAGGCGGTGAATTTATCTCATTCTGTTATTAGAAGAGGTTATTTTTTTCTTCTTTTTTTTTTTTTTTTTTTTTTTACTTCGTGGCAGGTAGAAGCGACCTAAAAAAGCCAGATTCCAGTGGGAAGCTTTTGCATATAAAAACAAATTAAGTGACTTCAATCTCGAAGTATGCGTAATATCATTTGTCAGTATCACTGGACACTATTATTCATTAGTATGTCTGAAGTGCTATTATGCTACTACAATGTCCTGCATATCAGCTCAGGAATTGTTAAACTCTCCTGCAGTTTCCCCATTTGCAATAGCAGTCCGTGCTGGTCTGTGCCAACTACGTTTTGCAATTCCACGAATTCTTCCTGTAATGCTGCTGTAATTAATTCCTCCAGGACCCTGATTTTTATTAGAAGTGCCCGCCCGATGCATTTACAGCAGGAGATTTCCCTTTAACTTTCTTTCGCTTGACAGTTCATTTATAAGAGCCTCCCCCACAATATCCACTTTTTTCCCCTCCTTTGCTTTTTCATAAAGCAATACACTTATTCATCTTGTCACAGCTCGCAGCCACTGTATTCCATGCCGCCTTTGGGTGACAGTGTCCAAAACAAACCAGCGCAGTGCCCGCGGCCAGGGGACACCGCAGCCCCCCCCGGCCAAAATCCCTCCCGACCCCCCCGCGGTACGGGCGCGCTTCGCTCCTGGCTGTGCAGCCGCAGCTGAACGGCGGAGCCCGAGCTGCCTTCAGCCTCCGAAGGGAGCCCGGGGCGGCTCCCGGGAAAGCTGGGCGTCGTGGGAAGCACTGGGAGATACAGGGCGAGCGGAACTCCGCTACTTGGGCTAAACCCCGCTCTACCACAACCGGTGCCTCCGGAACGGGGCGGCCGCAGGATGAGACCCGCAGCCTTCGCACCCCTTGTCCTCCCTGTGCGGTGGGGCAGGAGCCGGGGATGGGTGCGGGGGGAGCAGGTGCCCGGGCGCGGACCCCACGCCAGCCCGGCCCGGGGGGGGGCGCGTTTCGGCTGCGCGACTGGAACAGAAAGAGAAGTTTGGACTTGAGGCCCCAACAGCGGATTCCCGCGGGATACGCTGCCGACTCCCGGGTGGGGAATACTCCGGAACAGGGGTGCCCGCGGAGGGGCACCCGCACCCCCCTCTCAAGGGCTGCGGAGGCGGCCTGTGCGATCTCTGCTGCTGGCAGTCCTAAAGGGGAGAAACCCTTTTTCTGTGCTGAGCCACGGCCCGTCGAGGTTTCCATCTCGAACAAACCGGAATTGTCCAAGCTTTGGCTAAATCGTGGGAATCGGCCCTGGGCGGGAGGCAGGTGAGCATCGCCGGACTTCGCGCCCCTTAAAGCCGGAGGCAGGAACGGCCGCGCCGGGGGCCACCGGGCACCGACTGGGCTTAAACACCTCGCATCTGACACGAGAGAGAACAGGGCGTCCCTAACGCCATTTACGCCTCGCCGTGGCCTGTTATTGACAGTACCGTGAGATGATCTCATGGAATTAACAGCTCCGCTCAAAATCTCGGCTTTGGATGAGGTTTGAATGATGAGGAGGAGGAAAGCGGGGTCTCCAGGGATATGCCTGCGCTGATTCCAATCTGAATCCTTGGCCCTTCTAACGGCCACAAAGAAGACACTAAAAATAACTTATTTTCATTACAGAGATGCTTTTAAAGAGAAACGAGAGGAAGGGGGGGAACATTTCTACAACGGGGATTAATGTAAGTTGGAGTGGAATAAAAGGAAGTCAACGCTGAGCGAAAAGGGAACTTAAAAGGAAACCAGTAGTAGATCATATAGAGTTTGTTTTGGCCTGCACTGCAGTATTATCGAGTTCTTGACCTCTGCACAGAAACAGCTATAATCTGAACTGAGACTCCTCCACTTTTAGAGTCTTTGCAAGTGTGACTCACAGTAAATTTTCAACATCGAGCATGTTTACTACATTAAACAGCGCGAGGTAGAAAAGTTCACATCACCATTTTAATGGACTCACAAACACACACTTGTGATCTGCGCGGGTTTGTCATCCGTGTCCAGCTACCAACCACAGGCGCAGGGCTCCTTGGCAGCGCAGCGGGCCGCGCTATAAACAGAGAGCAAGTAGTTGCCGAGGCGAGAGATTTCAGAGATAGTTTTGCTTCCAGTATAAGAATTACGATCTTTTAACCATTTCCTTCAAGCTGCCGCCTTCCCCACTGCTTTGCCTCGCTACGGGAGGGATGGCGAGGCCCCCTCCCCGAGTGCCCCCGCACTGTAGACGGGCACCAGCGGGGCCGGGAGCTGCGCTGGCGGAGGGACCCTGCTGCCCACGCCCACTCGCGACCCTGCGCGGCTCCCTCGGGGAGCGGGGAAGCCCAGAGCGGTCCCTTGCAGCCAGCTGGGGAGATGGCGAGGAGCGGGAAGAGAGAGCATCGGATGGAGGCGGCTCCCTTTACACCTCCTCGCGGTGCGCTCTCGCTTCACCTCTGCCCGCCGAGGCATCGCCCTCAGGGTCGTGTTCGACGCGAGGGTGTGGCCCCGACAGGACTATGCAAGGAGGAGCAGACCCGAAGCCTCACCTTGAAGTGGGCGAGGGACCACAAACAACGCCCGAGCGCTACTCCAGAGAGGAGGTGGTGCAGGGCAAACACCGGCCGGCGCATCCCCTCGGAGAGAGAGGCAACACCTCCCGCCCCCGATCTCGTCTCCTCCGCCACATCACCCTCCTCTCCAGTGCTCAAGCCGAACGATAGCCCCTACCGTCCCCAGCCAGCCCGAGGAAAGATGAATCCTCCCCCCCTCCAGGGATGAGCATCCATCACGGCCGGCCCCGGCGCTCGGATGCGGCGACCGAGCAATCACTTGTCAAAGCAGAGCTGTCAAACTTCACCCGAACTGCGAAAAGTGAAAGAAACCTTCGCAAAGAAGGTGCGGAATAAATACCGTCTTAAAAAAACCCCCAAAACAATTTATCCAAATCAATATAAATATGCATAAGGACAGTGAGGCCGTTTTCAGGGCCTTGGCGATGCGGCAAATGAATCCCCTCCCTTTCTGCACCGCAACTACTCATCCACAGGAAGAACACTTGTTTGTTAGGAAGATCGGGTATTTTCCTAGGCGTTTCTTAATATGTTCATTAGGAGGACACTTATTAATCTCCTTTATTAAGGGGAGGTCGCACCGAGCTCGCCCACCTGTGCGGGCCTCGATGCGGGAGCTCTGTGGGGCTGCCCTCGACGTGGAACAAGTTCTGCCTGACTTACACCCCCCACACATCAGTATTGGCTTCTGTGAGCTTTAAGGGCTTAAATTCTTATCCTATCGGAGTAAACCGTAAACCTTCCAGGGAGTAGGGCAGGATCAAGGCTGAGATCGGGAGGAAATCCGACCTCAGGTGCGGGTCCCGAAGCGCTGGGCGGGAGGTGGCCGCGTTAAGGCGGTGACACCGCTGTGCTCACCCCCGCCTGAATGGAGGCACATGGAGGAGAGAGCTCTCGACACTATCAGCGATCTCCTATCGGAATCACATCTCCCAGGTGTTGCCGCTTCCAGGAGCGGGGCGATGGGGAGCCCTGGGGTCTGGTGGGACTGGGGAGAACGGTGTCTGCCCGCGGCCGCTCGGAACTGCAGTCTCCGAGCCTCCCTACAAACCATATTTATAGATTTCCCTGCACGGCGAGCAATCTCTGTCACTTCAGCGCAGGAGTTCTCCCCGCCAATTATTCTGCAAGCTAATCTCTCTGGATAGACTTCTTTCCTTCCTTCATTACCTCATTCCCTCCTTCCCTTGACGTCAACTCACGTTCATTAGCGAAGGGGCTTCTGGAAGTGACAGAATTTTGTTGTCTCACGTCCAGTGTTGATTAATCAGAGATGATATAACCGGCCTACAAGAGGAGCCGCTCGCGGCTTCCTTCTCAGAGGCACATTGTTTTGTGTGCGAGAGTTACTTAGCAACTCCAAGATACGGGACTGGCTCCAAGTTCACAAAAAGTTGAAGAATAAATTTTGGGAAACTTCTTTTACTCACTAAACACATTGTAAAACTCTAACGCCCAGCCCTCATGTCAGACCGAAAAAAAAAAAAAAACCAAAAACGGGAAGCCGCGCTTGCCACAGGCCCATCTGTTGGCAAAGAGATTTCGTTGCTTGCAGCAAAGCTCCAGACGCACCTTTCTCCCAGCAAGGAAATCCGATAGGTTTATTGCCCCGATTTCAATAAATAACCTCCCTGCAGGCCAGTTCCCATCACTTCTGGGAGCCATCGGAAGGGCTCTTGGTCTGCAAGACGAAGCCCTCAGACGGACCTGAGTTTTAATTGCGTGTATCACGCTCTGCCTATCACTGCTGCTCACCAACCAGTGCTCCCATACCTTCCCGGCCTCGAGGAAGAGCTCCGGGGCTGCGGGAAGAAGGCGTAGGGGCCGGGCCGGCAGCGGGTCCCCGTAGCCCCAGGGTCAGCTGGGCTGTCCCGGGTAAATCCCATGGTTAAGGGCAAATGGTTAAGGGCATGGTTAAGGGCAAATCCCAAAGTTTTTGCACCAGTGGGCTACTGGGCAGGAGTGTTCCAAGGAGAACAGGCAGCCCGGCTCCCTTCTCCCAGAGGCGGCCGGCACCTGCCGCTGGAGAGCGGCTCTCCCGAGCCCGCCCGGGATGCTCTGCCAGGGCCGCCGTCCCCCGTGAACTCCGGCTCGGGAGGGCGAGGAGGGCCCGGGAAATCTCCGGGACACATCGGAGCCCGGGGTGGAAGGCGCGGAGTCTTTTTTTTTCGTTTCGTGGGGTTTGGGGTGTTGGTTTTTTGGGGGTTTAGTTTGTTTGTTTGGGTTGGGTTTTGGTTTGGCTTCGGGGTTTTGGTTTGGTTTGGGTTTGTTTGGTACGGTTTGGTTTTTACGTGCGAATCTTTTTTTTTTTCTTTTGAGAAAGGTAAAAATAAATCTGTTTCCTTGCGTAAAGGACAAGCTATTTGAACGGCATGCGGGAGAGAGAGATCGCGTCCCAGCAACAACACGCTCGAAAGGAGGGAAGGCAAAGCTCCCCTGCCGGCGGAGGTACCTGTTGTAGGGGGTCCGGAGGAGCAGGGCCTGGCTGCCCGTGCAGCTGTCGGTGGGGGTGTGACAGCCGTACACCGGGGGAGGCACCGAGTATTGCTGATCCCCTGCGGAGAAAGCGGGAAAGAGTTAACCCCTGCGGCCACCGGCTGCCCCTCCACTCGCCCTGCGCTGCTGAACGGGCTCCAGGGCCCCGTCCTACAGCATCGGGGCATCTGTGCCAGGCCTGCAGGGGGTTGGGGCAGCGGTGCGAGTCCGAAGCCACCCCGGATTGCCAGCCGGGCGGCAAAGCCCTTCGAGACGGGCTCCCGCGGAGGCTGAAATTACCTAGGGAGGGCTGCTGGCTGATGGGGTCCTCGTGTTTGAAGGAGTGGTTCGTAAACTGAGCGGCGGGGTGAGACGGCGTGTGGCCATAGCTGGGGGTCCCGTCAAACGCCACGGTGCTGTAACCTGCCGAAGAAACCACAGCGGGGTTAGCAGGCGCCCCCCGACAAGCCCCTCAGAGCAGGCGTCGAGAGAGAGGAGCCTACGCCCGGCCGAGCGCCGCGGGCTCCCAAATACTTCGCGATTATCGCACCCGCGGGGCTGCTGCCGGCGCTGAGGAAAAGGACAGGGGCAGAGCGTGCCCCCTTCGTTCACTCTCCCGCCGCCCCTCTCTCAGCACACGCACTTCGCAAGGCTGCGGGCGCGGGGACCCCCGCGGGACCCCCCCGGCTGCGGGCAGAGCCGAGCCGGGCTGCCCGCTCCGAGGGGCGGAAAGTCGGAAGTCTCGTTCGTGCTTAAAGAGAACAGATCGGCTTCGGTAATAAAAAGGATGTTTTCATTAATTGCTGCTCATATTAAAGAGGAAGATTCCCATCTGCTTAGTGTACTCATCTGGCGTTTCCAATTTAGAAGTTACCCTTTAATCTTGCTCTTTTTTTTTCTTTATTTTTTTTAAGAGCCGCTTTCTGAAGAGTCTGCAATAAAGAGGCGGAATGTTACATGCAAAAATAAAACTCCTCCTTTCAGTGAAAATTGCTCTCCAAAATAATAAACAGCCTATTTTGTTTCCTACACCGAGAAGATTCAGATGGAAAGAGACCACCTCTGCTGACCCCGGGCCGACACGGAATCGTAAATCAGGTGCTTGGACACCAACTTTCATTAATGACTTGGAGCTGGCTAAACAACTTCAGCTAAAAAAGTAATTACAAAGTAATATTATCTCGGAGGCTTCTCGGCTCATCAGCATTTACCCCGAGAACCAAGCTCCTCCGA